CCTAAACCCTGAATCCTAAACCCGACGTTCTGTTCTTACCCCGGGGAGCTTCTCGCAGGCGTCCTGTGCTGCACCCTGCACGGGCCAGCCTGCGACACTCAGCTGCCCACTTGGTCGGAGCCTCGAATTTCTGAATTTCGTAAGTGATGAAGCAGACGGCTTCGTTTCCGCAAATGGCCTCCCATGCGAGGCAACACAGACTCCGAGCAGAAATTGGTTGGAAGGATGCCTCAATGCGCAACGGAGTGCGATTTCGTACCTCCGGGCTGCTTGTTCTTGTTAGTGTGGAGGGCTTCGAAACATCAAGAAAGACTTGTCGCAGGCAAGGTCTTGCAGATCTCATTGCTTGCTTTCTGCAGGTTATCGTCGCAACAGAGGAAGCTGGGATGGCTGGGAACCCCTCTTTGCAAGGAGCAATCCTACGCTTAGTATGTTGTTTCTCATGGTCCTGGCATGATCGGTGGCTCCACCGAGGAATGTGCCGAGGGCTACATCGGATCGGCCAGCGTGAGATGCGTACCATCGGGTGTTCGCCTGAGGAAAGCAATGATGTACACAGCTTGGTAGGGCACCAAACATGAAAAAGTGTCAGTGGTTAGAGCTGGTCTCTCTTGGCTTTCCTGCTGCTGCCTGTTGAGGCCCCGGGCGCGTTTGCGACACAGAGATCCGTCTCGACGGCTGCGATGAGATGTTGCCTTGTGGGGCAGGCATCGACGGCTAAGATGATTTAGCTTGGGCAAGCAAGCCCATTCCTGGCAGGCGTGTACGATGCATGCAAGTACGATTTGAGCGACTGCATGAACGTGCCAAGGATCCGAGGGGTTAGGGGTTTGCTTGACTAGCAGCTCTTGCAAGTATGCCTTGATGCAGCCTCCCATGTGTGCAGACACTACCCCCAAAGGTTTTGCATTTCGGTTGCCGCCAGGAGCGGAACATGTACCATCCGATGCCGCTATCCTTACGCGGGCCCGGATTTCAACGCAAGCTGCCCTTCTGAGAACATCTTGGCTGCTTTGTCGGCACTGGCGAAGTCTGGGATCTTTGGGGCCCTTTTTGGGAGTTCTACGGTTTAGTGGCATAGACTTTGGGGCTCGTTTTTGGGGTGTCTCAGGCGAATGATGGCCTTCTCTGGGACGAGGACCAATGTGTGTTGGCAGAGTGCCCAGATCCGAACATCACGGAAGAGAGCTCCTTTGATCTTCTCCTGCAATAGTTCCACGTTCCGGGGTCATTCTTGTGGGGAATGGGGTACAGGATATGCTGTATGCTCATGTGGTGTAGTATGGTTTGTGGAACGTGGGTCCTCTCTGCTCAACTCAGGTGTGGGATGGGTCGGCCTTTGTCTGTCGAGCTGGCTTTGTGGGCGAACCTGCCCGGCGCTGTTCCGCCATCGGCTCGCCGCCGGACTGCCGCGCTGAGGTCCGGCTGCATTCCCTGCGTGTGGAGTTTCGCTTGCCCAGTCTGCAAACAAAGGCCGTGTTCGATGGCTGCGTGCCCACCCAGCCATGCACAGCACCCAATGCAGATGCTGGGCGACAAAGACATGCATCCGAGTGAGAGGTGAGAGGTAGGAAGAGCTTTGGGGTGCTGGCAGCATCGCGGAGCTGCTAGTTCTCGTTGACTGCTCGACTTAGAGACCAAAGGATCCATGCCGCTACGAGTTGGACGAGTGCTCGATGTTGGGACCAGGCAAGGACCAACACAATTCTCTTCCTTCTCGGAACTGAACTGACGGGGGGGTTTGAAGCTTCCCTGTTGCAGGTGAGGCCTGTGTGCTGTCATGCAAGTTTCCATACATTGGGACTTCCAATGCCAGCGGCCACTGTCCTGCCCCGCACTGAGTTCTGGCAAAGTGCAGAGACCTGCATGTGCCTGGCTTGGGTGGTAGCATCGTAAGCAAGGAGTAGATTTACTTCAGATTCGGATGCAATGACAAATGCAGAATCTCCGAGAGGAGCCGGAGCTAGAGCTCATACATACATGTGTTTATGCAAACAGTATAACTGACAAAAGTCTTATGTACGCAATTAAGTTTAAGAAAATACATACATAAGCAGATGAACACATAACCAAGCAAACAAGCACATAAACAACTGGAAGCAATTAGACAAATACCTAAGCTTAAGCGAATAAATAAAAGCTACACAGATAGATAGACAGATAAATAAGTAACTGGGTAAATAAGTAGGTAAATAAATTTGTAGATAGGTAGGCAGGGATGGCTAGGCAGATAGATAGATAGATAATCGATAGATCGATAGACAGATAGTTAGATAGACCGATACAGAGACATAGCCTGGTATCGACATGTAATGTAAGTCTATGTACATACGACAGTTTCTGTCTATGTATAAGCAAAGTAATTATCATGTTCGTCTCAACTTAGATATCATGATAGTATTATGGCTTAATGCAGAATCGCATGCCGATTTAATTGCTACGCATTTGTGGTTGCAATATGCTTCCAGCAGTCCAGCAATCGGAACAATAGTCTCAATAGTCGTCATTGCAGCAACCATATTCACGGCCGCGGTATCAGTGACAACTGACAACCAATGGCAATGGTATCACTATGAGCAACATCCGTAGAGCTGGTAGAGCACTGCTTGTGGCAATACAATAGTGACAACATAAGTACGCATGCCAGCGGTCGCCTTGCAACTAGGATTGGCAAGTGGCAACAAGACCGAACGCAAGATCAATCACCCCTAGTTGCGATGACACTGATGTCGGTGCTGATGGTGACCATAATGCTCATGAAAAGTTCCTTGTTGGTGATGATGAGAAAAGTGACAGGGAGGATGAAGATCAACAGCAATCGCAGGATCGTGATGGCGAGGATGATGATGATGATGACGATGACGATGACGATGACGGTGATGAGGATGATCATGAGGATGGTGATGAGGATGCTGCTGCTGATAATGATGGTGATGATGATTCGTGGCGGTGGTGGTGGTGGTGGTGGTGGTGGTGGTGGTGGTTTCCCAAGCGTGAGGCCAACAACACAGAACTCGACTTTCCGGTGCCGGTGGACGTGCATGACGATGGCTGCGAGCTGACCTGTGATGACCCGGTCATAGCTCCGACAGGCTGGAATAAATCCCGTCGAAGGGCTTAAGATGTGCTGTAAAAGGGAAAGCCAAGAGCACAGAACCCGCTTTTCTTCGGGTCTGGCTTGGTATGTCATGGGATCGCCAGCCACTCATGTATTGCAGTTTACGGGAAAATGCCAGGGTCGTCACGAGTACGCCACAGCAAGGAGACGACTGTAACATGTGAGGAGACGAGACTGTGACTGCAAGGAACAAAAACAGTTTGGTTCTACGATTTCCCCGGAATTCCGAGCATACATTGATAGGATAAAGTTGCAACGGTAGAATCTGTTTTTGCTGCTAGTAAGCACTACACATAGAGACGTCAGCTGTTAATCTGCACAATCGAGCTGGGACCGCTAGAGGATGTGAGCTTACCAATGAAAAGATGGTTACCAGCCCAGCAAACACAAAAGATTCCCACATTTTGCCTTTGAGCCTAAATGTTTGCATTGCTTATCCGGTCGGACTGGCTCAGATGACGGTATGGAAGGTTACTCTCTTTTTGAACCGGACGTTTCCCCGTATCCCTGCCAGCCGAGCGTCGCCGATGGGACGAGCAGGGAGGGTGCTATTGGCTTTGTGAATACATCGCAGGATATGAACGTTTCCATTCATTCGGTGAGCGGGAGGAAGTTACAGATTCTGGTCAGGCCGGGGACTGCAGTCCTTTGCCTCAAGGCTGAAATTGCAAGGTTCTGGCAGATTCCAGAGGTATGTCAAAATCTGCTTCTGGGAGCAAGGACCTTGCATAACAAGGATTTGCTGTCTGCGGATCTGTCTCCAGGTGTGACATTTTTGGAGCTGACGCTGCTGATCTCTGCTCCGCCTTGCTGTGCATCAAGAAGTCTTCCTCCGTCTCGTGTGGTTTATCTGCATGAGCCCTACAAACAGGGACACAGGTCTGATGGGCCTTTGCCGAATCTGTCCGTGTTGGAAGCTGACGTGACAAGTTACGGGCCCTTAGAAGAATTGGGAAGCAGACACCGTTCTCGAAAGGGGCGCTGCGCGTGCCAGCTTCCCAGCACATGCCCACATTGCAAGCGCTTGTTGCTCTGCCGGGAGCCAAGTTGTTTCACATAACGTGACGCCGATGGGCCGAGTTCTGCGTTTTGTTTTTCTGGTATTTCCTGGTACACTGCTAGGAAGTTTCAGCACTAAGGTGTCGGGAATGAAGTTGCGGCAGTAGTGAAGTTGCACCTTCACCGTATGGCAAAGTCCTTTGCTGGAGCCCTGAATTTTCTGCTCGATGAGCATGGTCTATGCCTTCATGAAGTGGACGGTTGCTCGACATCCTGCTTGTCACTGGAGGCAGAGTCTTTGCAGTCCTTCGACGGCATCACAGCAGTTTTCCCGAAGGTCACGGAGTTTTCCTACCGTGGCGAGTGGTCGGGGCGTGGGCGGCAAGGTGTCCTACGCAGCCTCCGAGCCTGGCGACCGACTCTTCGGAGCCTTAGAATTGAGATCCTGCCAGGTGAGGGTTTAGGGTTTAGGGTATAGGGTTTAGGGTTTAGGGTATAGGGTTTAGGGTATAGGGTTTAGGGTCATAGAGTTGAGATCCTGGCAGGTGAGAGCTCTTCCGGAGCCTTAAACCTGGGAAGCATCGAATTGCGAAATTTCAGTGTCTTGGAAGATGTCCGCTTGCATCTCCCGGCCGCCTCAAGGAGGCATCTGGCTGCACTTTCCAACCTCACCGGCCTCCGGCAACTCATATTCTGGGGGACGGACGAAATCACTTCGGATCGTGATCTGAAGAACAAGGCATATGGGACTTTGGACTTTTCTGGCTGTCAGTTGCTGAAGCTCCTTGCCTTCAGGTCAATGGCCTTCTGTCTTCCAGATGAGCAAGATCATCATGGCTGCATGGCGCTCGCTCTGCCGTCATCTTTGGAAGAGCTGGTGATTGTCAACGACATGGATGCGCTGTCTGGCTTGACACCCAGGCTGCGTCGTGATATCTTGGGGCAGCCGTTTCGATTGGCTGAGTATGCCCCAGAAAAGAACTTGAGCTATGAAGACCGGCAAGCTTTCAAGCTCATCTGCACAGCAACCCAGACACCCAGAAGAGTTCTGTGGGAGGTCGATGCCTCATTCACCTTGCAATCTGCTGAAGAGATGGAGGCAGCAAGGGAATGCCGGCTGCAGATGTTAGCAGACCAAGCCACTGAGCACCATCGAAAGCAGATTGAGCTTCTAGCGATGTTGGGCCTCAAGCCATCAAGGGACGCTCCTTTCCATGAAGGCGAGATGGTGTGGTACATTAGCATCTTAGGACATCCCCTTCTGAGACGGTGCTGTGTTCGCAGGGTTGCACCCACCCCGAGGGATGGGAATGACGAGTTTGCCTACGACAACATCTACCTGACTTACTTGCTTGTGTCTCCGGACGGCGAAGAAGCAGCCCCAACAGAGATTGAAGCAGACCCAATGTTCATTTTCAGATCGCAGCCGACGCCGTCCACGTTCCCAGGACTGCAGGCTATCATGTCAACCTGCCTAGTGCAAGCAGGCGGTAATGACCGCCGGGACGCGGAAAGCTCGTGATCGAGAAATGACCCCTAGCTCGGACATGGTCAACGTTGATCTGCGGCAGAAAGTGTCAGAAAGCAGCTTGCATCCATCGTCCATTCTTGTTTGGAGGCTATGAGAAGGTCGGGAACTCCTGGCAATGTGCAGCCGGATATGCTGGGCGGGCCCATGTTCACTGTGCCGCAGCCTCGCCTGTTGACGTGCGCATTTCTTCGTTCATGCTGTGTATTACATGTAGACCTGCACTTTGAGCAACTTTGCCTCGTCAGCTGGACATGCGTAAATAAGCAAGACATGCATACAAGCAAGCATGCACACGTCGCCTCTTTTAGCGTGCTTTTGTTTGGGTTGTGGTATCTGGTCGCTTGGTCTGGTGTTCCGGATCCTTCGTTTCCATAGTTTTGTTGGGCTGGTCTCAGGCAGAAGTCCGAAGCCCTCAAAGCGACGTAACCAACCCTTGCAGAAGCATCAAGCCGAGTCTCCAGATGTTCAGCTGCCCAGGTCATCAATGAGACGGAGGTCATCAACGAAACTTGCGGTTCTTACATGACGCCTGCCGCAATTCTTTGGCGCCGGAATCCTTGGCCCACCAAAACCCCAAACCCCAGGAAACACGAGGATGAGTGCACCTTCTTGAGCTCGAAGATGTCTTTTCCTAGAATACCCGCGGCAAGTCTTTTGTACGTTTTGAGATGCAGCTACAAGAACCCCCATGTCCCTGCTTCGAAAAGTTCTTACTCCATGCCTTTTGGTCGACTGTGGGCTTCGCATGTCATGCCGGTGTCGAGGAATCTCTCGGGCTGCATGCAGATCCAACCTTGCCAGCCTCCAACTTACATCGACAAGTGCATGTACGAGGCAAGGCGGCTTGAGGGTATACAATATGATATAATATCATATAGTATAATATAATATAACATAATATACTATAATATGTTTTGCGTCTTGGGGGCTTGGAGGTCTGGAGCCTGTCTGCAATGATGCTCCTTGCCAGGCCGTGAATTGCGAGGATTTGCCATCGGGTGGCTCTTGTGCTATCATCTGCCGCTATCCATTCTATAGCCCTGATGTCCCTCGTCGGGAAAGGTGGGGACCATGAGGCAGGAATGTCATCAACGTTGTTGACGTCATTGTGAACATTGATAGCATTAATCTCAACAAATACAATTTCTGTCAGTATCTGTCGACAGTCATTGACAAGAGAGGTAGGCATTGCAACACGTATCGATCTTTGTGATACTGGTCAGGGTAGTAAGATCAGCATTACAACGAGCAGTCATCGAAGTTATGCTGATCACGGCAGTACAAGCAACAATGAGGTACAAGTACCCTGAGTTGCTGCAAGCCAAGGTCTACGAAGATGGCCTGTTCTGCCCGCAGGATATGGGGGGTTTCCGAAAATAGGGGACCCTAATATAGTACCCTTAATGGTAGGATCCTCATTACAAGGACCCCAAAATAAGGTACCCGAATTTTCGGAAAGTCCCATAGGAGGGCTAAATGAAGAAAACGGCCAGCAGCGCTGCAGATCGGTTTCAGCAGCGATGCAGACGTTGGAGTTGGACTGTCCCTAAACCGGCCAGGACAATGTGGACCCATTGAAGGAGGTGGAAGTTCGTCAGATTCCGACTTGTGAGCTCTTCTGTCCAAGCCCGCCGCCACCGCCGGGCTGCTTGCCTTTTACTCTGCTGCGTTTTGGTCTTCAGAGTTTGGGAACTCCGGATGGAACTCCGGTGTCCTCGATGCCGGAAGAATGCCCGAGCCGAATTGAGAACTTAGGCTACATCAAGCTTCATGACTTGTTGCTGGAAACCGAGAACGGTACGGAGATCAACAGGCAAGACCTCCAGGAGTGTGATGCCTTTTCAAAGTGTGCAGCTGAAGGTGATAGCTAGAGCCAAGCACTAAAAGATGCAGGGATCCGGCCTACACCTGTGCACCTGGCTGGACTGGCACACCGAATCACACCTGCTCTGTGAACAGTGACTTGGAAGCGCCCGGATGAAGGGCCTTTATGAGTTCAGAAGGTGCATGATAGATCATGATAGGTCGGAAGAGCCGAGGCACCACTTGTGCTGTTCCAGCGCCGGGGCCTCAGCAAAGGGCGAATCCGCTTCTGCAGCCTTCAGGCAGAATGCAGTGATGAGCGCATGCTTCAGGACATTGCAAGGGTGCTTCCAGATGCTGCCATGCATGCCTATCGACCCTCGCTCCTTCGATACATGCACTTTCAACATCACGGAGTGCGAAGAGAAGAGCCAGGCTGGCCCTAGCCTGACCTGCTAGCGGCGGCCTGTGGGGCGCATGAATCTTGCAACGAAGCCCTCTGTATACTTTGCCTCTTTGTGTGCTCCCCGCTCTCAGACGAACATCGCGGAGTACACGGGCCCTGCACCAGGGACGATATGCCAGCTTTCGTGCAGGGAGCCGATGCGAGGAGCGATTGACCGTTGTGGGGTGTCAGCGGTTGCCAGAGGAAGCTGAATGTGTTGTCCTTGGTGAGATGTCCGCCTAGGAGACGTCACGACTGCCTCCTGTGTGGAGCGGAACATCGATCCCAGACGAAGAATGGAGTACGACTTGCCTACGCTCTTGTGTTGCAAACAGGACCAAACACGCTCAGCTGAGCTTTGGCATGACGCGCACGCAGCTGGCTCATGCTCGCCTCAAGCTGTCGAGTTGCGCTAACCGAGGTGCAACATGTATTGCCCAGCACCAGAGGTAATACCAGAAGGTTACGTCCATCTAGGCCCCCCGACGGAAAAGTGACAGTCTCGCCGTGAAGCCGGGCACGACCCGGAACCTTGCATACAAGAGCATCTGGTAGCCGCAGGTGCCACAGCTGGCAATGTTTCCAACAGTACAATCCAGCTGCCTGACGGTGCGAACGTGGCCAGACACTTGCCTGGCATGAGCTAATGGGGTTCGGGGTTTAGGCTCTGTCTTGCCCTGGACGGCTCAAAGCCAGCTAGAGTTGCCACATTGCCAAGAAGGTGTAACCAAGTGGGTTACCAACTGCGCAATACCAGCACTTGGGGATACCGTGGCATCCCTAAATCACTTTTCCTGTCAGGCGTAGAATACCGCTGCGCGCCCGGCTATGCTGGTCTGGCGCAGATCTCCTGCCACTTGCAAGGCGGTAAAGTCACAACAAAGTTTTGGACTCTGTGTGTGTGTGTGTCTTTCCCTCTCTCTCTCTCTATATATATACATACATACACATAGATATTTGTGTATAGACTCTAGCAGTTGTGAGCATCTTCCCAACAGGCCGCATCTCTAAACCCTGAGCCCTAGACCGCAGGATCCTACAGCAGTGCCACCGGGACAGTGGAATGCGTCACCGTGACGTCCTTTTCTGGCTGTGCCCCGCCCTACTCGTCACGGGTCAGGACAGGGGTCGGACTGATTCGTAATGATAGTCCTTGGTAGAAAAATTCCACCGAAAGCCTGTTCTACTATGGCCGCTGTAGTTTTAGGTACCATGCCAGCTCCACAGAATCGTTCGAAGCAAGCAAGATACTGTAGGTTTCATTGGGGTGCGAAGACTCGTATACGAGGGTCTCTCCAGGTGCTCCGTCGCAGCCATGCGGGAGCCTCAAAGGTCGTGCAGCCTAGGCCTCCAGGGTCCCCGAAACCCCGGCACTATCGAGGCGTGGCCCCAGTGGTGGACTCGTGCCGTCCGCTCCTGAGTATGGAGCCAGCTTGTGCAAATCGCGCTTGGGCGAAGCTGCGAGGCCATGACGTCTCGGCATGCCGGAACCTGCCTCCAGGGCAGAGTTGTGAGGTAAGCTGCACTCCACCTTTGGTGGGACTTCCGAGCACGTTCCACTGTCCGGCAGACAACGTGAGAGCCCCAGAGCCGGCCCAGAGCCCCGAGCCCTTCTGGGAGCAGAAGGTGGATTCGACGCAGCTTGTGCTGGGAGAGCTTCCTTCCTGCCGCTTCCCCTTCGGCTGCGAGGCCAGGCCCCAAAGCAAGGTAAAAGTGACCACATTTGGCCCCTGGCAGGAGCCCGTACCTCTGACCCAAGGCTACGTCAAGGCCAGGAAAGCTCACCTTACAGTTGGGCCATGTTTCCAGTGGTTGCACTCAGAGTGGCGTTTTCTAGGGACTTTCAGCAGCCCCTATCCCTAAACCCTAAGCCCCAAACCCTAAAAGCTCTATGTCCAGGTGAATGAGAGCAGCTACGAGTGTGCTGAAGGCTACGTCGGAGAGGCGCTGGGTTTGGAGCTTCGGGTTTTCGGATAGCATAGTATGGTACAGTATAGTATCGTATATTATCTTGGTATAGTATAGTATAGTATAGTATAGTATATTATCTAGGTATAGTATAGTATAGGATAGGATAGGATAGTATAGTTTGGGGTCATGCCGTCATGTCCAAAGGCCTCCCCTCGTACAGTAATTATAAGTTTCTTCTGCAAGCCCGAAGGGCTAAGCCCCAAAGCCTAAACCCGGGTTAGGGTTTAGGGTTTAGGGTTTAGGGTTTAGGGTTTAGGGGTTTAGGGTTTAGGGGTTTAGGGTTTAGGGTTTAGGGTTTAGGGTACCCTAAACCCCGAAAGGCAGAGTGGGACTGCTATCTCGCCCGGTTCTGTGCCCCGATGCTCATCCTCTCCGGATGCCACGAGTTGGTGCCTTGTGCTTTGCCAGCTCCAGAGGACGGCTTTTTGAGGGGACGAGGGTAGTTTTTGGCTTTGGTTTTGGGCTTAGGGTCGTCGTGGGAAGAAGCTGGAGACAAGGGCAAAAACGGCCTCAAGCAATGATGCAATCGGCGTTGGCAGAGGTAATCCTGAACTCTCAAACTTGGATTGGAGGCGTTCACCCGCGTGCTAGCTTTCTGTGGTCATGCTTGTCTTGCCTGCATTTAATCGGAAGGGTGTTGCTTTCAATCGCTGTGTTCTTCTTGAAGGCGCCCCAATAGCACCGGGCAGTTCTGGTGTTTGTCAATATTGAGCACTTGAGAATCTGAAAGGGCTTGAATTACAAACTTTCGTCGTCTCCTCACCTTCGCCATGTTGTAGTTCGTCAACGTCAGACGGAGCCTCAACATGGGGCCACAATCTACCCGACCAGATCAAACAAAGCACAAGCTGTTGAACGTGTTGTTCTACAATCTTGAAATCAGGTAAGCAGCCAAACCAAACAACAGGAATATCCAGATGATGTACTGTGCCGCTTCGCAGGTAGAAGCCGCACGCTATCCTGCACTGGGATATTCGAGCAGTTGCAGAAAATGCGGCATGAACAACTCTTGCGATTTGATTTGTTTGGGACTGGTTAACGGTTAGAGGACCCACTGCAACCAGACAGTTGAACAGACACCAGAAACTGAACAGACCAAAAGCAGTCAAACCTAGGCTACTCACTCGAGCTTGTGCCCCTTGAAGTTTCCAGAAGCCTTCCAAGCAATGCTCCTGGTGGATCCATGGAGGGCGGGTTTGTAACACAAGCGCATGCTTCGATGTATCCTCGGCTGGCCCTGCCAGGACCAGATCTGCGGCCTGAACTACACCGCATGTACCGGGACCGGCCCGGGGCAGATGTGCCGAGTCCCCTGCTTGGCCGGCTACATTGAAAACACCTCCTACGTCTGGGAGGAGGCCTCCCCACTGTGTTGCTATTTGCTGTGATGGTTGATGGCACCGCACCTCCGTCAGCTGTCTTCATTTCAGGATGAGATGGAAATGGAAGAGCAGATGATGACCAACAACATCTCGATGGCTGGTTACTTGCTCAGCAACCACTTTTATGATTGCCTGGTGTGTTCAGCTCAGTGCCTATACCAGCTCCCTCTTCGAAGCCTCTTTGAAGTGTGGGGGCCCGGGGCCCGGGATCTGGCGATCTGACCAGGTCTCCCCGACAATGCCACAGAACCCAGCTGCCCAGCAGGTGGGCACAGCGAGCTTTGTGGCTGTCGAGTTGTGGAGATGCCTCTCAACCCCAGGCAACATTGACCCCACGAAAGTCATCGAATTTGAGCGCATCCGCTGCGAGTTCCAGGTTCTCAAGCTGGCTCTTAGCGGCTGGGACGGTGTGACTCACTGCTCTCCGATCTGTTGCAGGTTTGTATCGACCCACATCCTACACCACTGGGCTACACGAAGCTGCCAAACGGGACGTGGACCTGTCAGCGAGGATGCTTGGCGACTATCCGTGATATCAGAGTGAAAACATCTTCTCACCTCAAAAACCTCGGGAGTGCCACATTTGTTTGTGCCGGGGCAGACTGTAAGAAACGATGGGCAGTTGTGCACTGCACAAGCTCCACCAGGATTCGTTGGAGAAGTCGTCAAGGAGTGCCACGTGTGCAACGCATCGCTGGCCTTGTCAGGCCCGTTCTGCAAAAAAACGGCTCAGGCGCAAAGGCATTGCTGCTGCATGTGTAGCCAGATGCCCCCCCCCCCCTGCGGGGGAGAGGGGGGAACTTAACTCCAAAGCTCAAGGTTGAGGGGGACCCCATGCACAACCATTCGGAGACGGCCTTAAACCACCCAAACCAGTGCCCAGGGAAGGGAACTAACCAAGATCAAGGCCCAAGCCGTTCCAGCCAGGGTGCATACAACCATTAGGTCCCCGAGTTGCACCTCAACACAGAGCTCACTTGTGGCAGGATGCATGCCAGTTATGCCATGCGTGGCGCCAGTACTCCCCGATGATCAGTGCATGCTGGACCTCTCGAACTGCACGTTTCTGAACCCTGGAGACAGCTGTGAGATTGCCTGCCAGTGGCCGTTTGCTGGCTCGCTGCCTTCGTATGGACGCATGCAGCGGTTTCAGAATGACGGTTCCTGTTTTGCCAAACTTGGCTATGCATCCTTGCGACAGTCGACCGAATCTTCGTCTGAGGCGTTTGTCCTTCGGACAATACGGATCCAACCTTTGAGCTACTTGGCTACACCCGTTCTGCACCTTAAAAGCTGATCTACAGCACCCCGTTGTGCAGACTTGCACCGTGTCTGTCAGGTTCAACTTCACCATGCCCCACTGCGAGCTGACATGCCATTCTCCGGATCCTGTCCCCGAAGGCTACGTGTTGGCCGAGTCTGGCGAGTGGCAATGTGCGATCCCAAGCTTGCGACGTCCTTGATACACCGTGGCATTGAGGGACCAGTTTGCGCCTTGCAGAGGTGCGGAAAGCTACAGCGGCAAGGCAGAATACCACTGCGAGTTGATGTCGGAATGCTGGTCGATGGCATCACTCTCTGGTTGCCGCGCGTCCTTGCAATTCACTCTACTTTCTGCCATGTTTTGAGCCCATTCCAAGACATCTTTCGCCTTCGGATCGGCCGGACTCTCTTTTTCTCCTCCACTCGCAGGCTCCTCAAGTCGCTTTAAGAGCGCAAGCCCCACCGACGGTGCATGGAACCCGAAGCCTCCAAGTAGAATCTAAACCAGGAATGGGTTTCAAGTTTCAAGATCTCGGAATTCCAAGCACGAGAAGCATGCGTGAAGGTCCTAAAACGTTGAGTCGATGTTGCAATGTTGAAATCAATCACTCGAAACCCAGCTTTCCTTGAGCTGATATGGACTCCCGGTTACAAATCAGATAGATCTCTCGTAACTAATACCGTCGCCGCTTGTAAGATTCGACTAAGGATCCGACCATTGCTGTATGGCCTTGAAACTGAGGCTTACGAATCCGGGAACTAGACTCGTGATTCCAAATCTAAATCTTAAACCTCAACCCTAAATTCCAAGCCCCAAACCTAAACCTCAGGCTATGCCCCTCTGGCCTGCAACGTGCCTACCGTGGAGTTCTGCACGCACGTTGAGATTGGTTGCAATGCCTCCCTGCCTGCTGGCCAGGAGTGACATGAAAACATATCCCGTCACATCATATCATACCATCTGATTCTCTTGCACACCTACATTTGCACAAGGTGTACCTGCATGTTATTCGATATATATATATATACAAATATATCTATATCTATTTCTATATCTATAGCTAGTACCTGCATGTTATTCGATATATATATATATACAAATATATCTATATCTATTTCTATATCTATAGCTATAGCTATAGCTATAGCTATAGCTTTAGCTGTTTCTATATCTATAGCTATCTCTATCCCTATCTTTATATCTATATCTATATCTATATCTATATCTATATCTATATCTATATCTATCTATCTATCTATCTATGTATCTCGCTATATATCTATATATCTATCTATCTGTCTGTCTATGTAT